AGAAGTTCAATCCATGCGGTTAGTTTTATAAAAGGTTTTACCAAGCATAGTGGAAGCTTTGGGCTTCTGGGTTTTAGGGAGCACACAGGGCACCCAGGAGCAACCTTTTGAAAAAAACTGTTGCCTAGTAAGGTTGATTTCATATTTAAGAGAGACGGATCAGTTACTTTCTTAGACCTTGTTCTTATAGGGCGATTACATTCATGCCCTGTTCAGGGACATGTTTTATCAGCATCAGGATGCACAGGCAGGGCCATGGATAAGGGGGTACCACCAGTTCTCCTCTACGGGGCCCAGGCCAGTGTGGGGGCCCAGGCAGCTGGGTGAATTGAATGTGGACATGGAGTGTGATTGACATGGCACAGGGGGGAGGTAATTACTGTAACTGATCCTCTGTATGGCTCTCTGCAGCAGCTGAAAGCTGACTTCTCCTCTCCCTCCTGCTGGCTTTCAGCTGCTGCAGAGAGCCACACAGGGGATCGGTTACAGTAATTGCCCCCCGCTGCCCCCATCACCCTCCCTGTGCACCATACGTTTCCCCATGCTGCCCCCATCACCCTCCCTGTGCACCATACGTTTCCCCATGCTGCCCCATCACCCTCCCTGTGCACCATACGTTTCCCCATGCTGCCCCCATCACCCTCCCTGTGCACCATACATTTCCCCATGCTGCCCCCATCACCCTCCCTGTGCACCATACATTTCCCCATGCTGCCCCCATCGCCCTCCCTGTGCACCATACGTTTCCCCATGCTGCCCCCATCACCCTCCCTGTGCACCATACATTTACCCATGCTGCCCCATCACCCTCCCTGTGCACCATACATTTACCCATGCTGCCCCCATCACCCTCCCTGTGCACCATACATTTCCCCATGCTGCCCCCATCGCCCTCCCTGTGCACCATACATTTCCCCATGCTGCCCCCATCACCATCCCTGTGCACCATACGTTTCCCCATGCTGCCCAGGCCCCCCCACGTGTGCCCCACAGTGCTTGCAGCTTTCCTCCTCTCCTTTTTACCAGCAGCTGCAAGCACACAATAGGATTCTTCAGAATGGAGAGTGGAGGAAGGGTCCGGTGAATGTCACATTTACCAGCCCCTTGCTTTCCTGAATGAACCCAATAAGTGGTCGATACCAATCACTCACTGTATTAATTTATAACTGAAGCATAATAAACTGCGTGTGGATTTTTTTTATCTAGGAGGGGTGGCCCTGTCAGGTTGGCTGTATGGGGCCCCATGTTTTCTAACAGCAGCCTTGTGCACAGTTGTTCTCTACATCCTTCCCATGCCAGCAGTCCCATTCATATCTGTTGGCACACAGACCTAGCCACTGCTCCCAATATGACATCTATGTGGGTGTGGGTGCATGGCCTCCATCACACCCAGGGGAATTTCAATAGAACTGAATCAAATTTGAAAACAAAAACAAATTCCCAAAATGAATTAAACAAATGTAACAAAACAATATAATTTATATAATCAATAGAAATTAAACAAATGTTATGGTTTTGCACGTCTAAACACAATAGCTCTGCAGGAGGAATCGAGCGATTTCCTTTCTTTCCTGTGGTTGCAGAAAAGAAAATCATATTGACTACGGCTTACTTAAGTGATCATTCACTATGTAAAAGAAAAAATCCCTAACCCTTTAGTAAATTGAACCCGCAATAATTGGAAAAGTATAGCAGGGTCAGCAATACATCACAGACAAAGACACAAAAAATGTCATATTGTTGAACCTCGCTCCTCTCACTGGCAAAATTAAAAGAAATATCTGTTACAAACCCTTTTGCAATGGTATTTGTGCACATTTCAGGAACCTCATATAGAAATGTTTCAGTTCCCTCATTTCTATCCCAACCAATGAGACACACAGTTACCTGCAGCATGCTTTCCTCGTGCACATGTGTCAATAAACACTTCATTTTGCTGTCAATGCTAAGTGCCATTGTTGTAGAAGTGTTAAATATGTGAAAGTACTGAGCATGGTGGCTTTGTCTTCCATTTGTATCTCATACATATTGAAAGTTGACACCATAAGGTGGAGGAGAGAAATGCTGGGTTGGTTGCTATTTGTCTAAGAAATGGAAAGCTGAGCACATTATCTGACCACTTCCCTCAGGTGTACAATTATCCACCATAAATAAACCGCCCGCTGCTCCATATCGTTAATTAAAAGATAGAAAGGAATGTTTTCAGATATGACTTCCTGCCTTCTATATTATGAGATCCCTCTGTTAAATACTTAGTGTACTCTCTATTGTTCTAAAGCAGACACACAAATCCAGGACAAATGGTTTTGTATTGTCATTGCAATGTACTCATTCCTGTTGTGCTGACACGTGTCACAGGGGTATGACATGAGGGACAGGCTTTCCAAGGGAGACACAGATAACAAGCAAAACACTTTTTAGTACAGTAGAGAAGGGTTTTTGTTTTTTTAATGTCTTCCTGAGCAATTATTATTATTATTTTAACTTTGTCCTTCCTTTCTCCCACTGGGGCATGAAGTGAAGGGAAAGCTCAATGCAAATCTAAAGTTGGAATGGGGTTTGAGTACCTAGTTTATGTATAATCAAGTTCATTCCTATGAGTTAGTGCACTTTGCACATCATTATTAGTCCTCATGCACACAAGATGTTTTTACTGCTGCTTTAAGGCCTGGTTCACATCTGTGCGGGTGGTGCCACTGCAGGACTCGCACAAAAACCTGCAGACGCACCACCCAAACAGAGGAATGCGGGACCCACGGGCGGGTGCCATTAATTCTAATGGCACGCTGCCCACACTGGAAATCGAAACCGTACTGGGAACCTCATTTCCCATGCAGGCTGAGATTTCCAAAGGAATGCAGGGACTTCTTCCCAGTGTGTCCTGGGGCACTGGAGTCCATTCAAATGAATGGGCTCTTGTGCCCATGCAAATCGCAGCCCACATGGCCGCACATATGTGAACCTAGTGTAAGGGGCATCTGCTGGTTTTTTTTTTTTTTGTTCCGGCTTCTAATTTTCAGATATGACTTCCTGCCTTCTATATTACGTGATATTATCCTAGGTGTTCTCCATATTATCCTAGGTGTCCGTGCACACATAGACCTTTAGCAGTGTGTAGTGGCAGGAGAGCTTGGAGGCAGGAAAAAAAACGCAGCTAGCAAGTCCAGGAGCCGCAGCGTTTTGGAAGAAAAAAAAACTACTGAAGCTTGTAAACGCATGTTAATGCTTGACCATTATTTCATTGCAATGGTCCAAATTATTCTTATTCTGGCCAACGAAATGAAGTAACCTGACCGCCCTATAGCAGAACTACTGCTACAGAGTGGCAGGGCTGCGAAAAAATCACGTGTTATATATACGTGATTTAGTATTTTTGGGTAGGGAGGACGTGCTCCCTACCCGTGCCGCCATTGGCGGCTACAGCTGTCGATCACCGGGTCCCGGCCGGAGATTCCCGCCGGCAACCGCAACCGGCAAGGAACACTGGCAGGGGAGGGGTCTGTATGTAAACCATACAGATCTCTCCCCTGTCCACTCCAGAACATTGCGTTGTATTGGTCTGCATAGTCTATCACACAGTATCATGACCTAGGAAACACTAGTATGTATTGGGTTGTCATTAGATTAAGGTGACTAAACAGAACCTGTTCCCCCTTATATCAAATGTCCCTATAAGAGTCCCCCTTTAAATCAGGAGTCCTCATCAGAGTCCCTTTTACATCAGGTCACCATCAAAGTGTCCTCTTACATCAGGAGTCCTTATCAGAGTCCCTCTTTACATCATGGCTACTCAACAGGTTGCCATCAGAGTGCCTCCTTACATCAGGTTCCCATCAAAGTGTGCCTTTACATCAATCGTGCCCACCAGAGTGTCCCCTTACATATGATTAGTTATCCCTATCAGAGTGCCCCCTTACATCTGCTGTCCCCATCAAAGTGCCCCCTTACATCAGCTGTCTCTATCAGAGTGCCCCCTTACATGTAAAGTTCCTATCAGAGTGCCTCCTTATATCAACTGTCGACTTCAGACTGGCTCATTGATCAATGGATGCACTCTGAGACCTGGGGGGGGGGGGGCAGCAAAAATCTAGGGGGGCACAGCCCACCCCAAAACCCCTCTAGATCCAGCCCTGGTAGGGCTAGTCTGTACTGTCATCCCTACAAGGAGAGCAGAGAAGTGGATCTCAAATCCCCAGACCTGTGCAACAGTTTTTTTCTCCTCTTCTTGCAGGGATGACTGTATAGGCTAGGTGGCTTCTGATTGATAGCACCATCCATGTGACGGTGCTCACCAATCAAAAGCCCTCTTATCTGTACTTTTTCATCCCTGCAAGGAGAGGAGAGAAAACCATGTGGCTTTCAAATCCCCGCAGCTTTCTCTTGTCTACTACAGCTGAAAATACAGAGCATCTGCCTCCATCTGTCACCAAGGTATACATCCCCACATTCCCTTCTCTCCCACTCTCCACTGCAGAAAATCTCCCTGCACCGCTCCTGTGTGTATTCAGGCTATGACAAGCTTGAGTTTACACAGGATCAGTGGGGAAACCACATGTGATTTGGACAGGAATCACATCCCTGTTCAAATCTCATGCTATTCTTTGCAGTGCAATTTGCATCCACACATTTTGAATATTCTGTATGGATGCAAATCGCCCTGCAAAGCATCGGTACTGAGTATCAGCGAGTACTTGACTGATAGTATCGGTACTCGTATTAACCTATCAAAAAATAGTATCCATGTATCCCTAGTAATAATAAATAAGAACACAATTAGCAAAATATTGGGTTTAATGACACTTTAAAGTGTTACTAAACCCACAGCAGTAAACTCAGTCTGTATATGCAGTAAATAATGCGTGTTATACTCTCTGTGGAACCTGTGGGGTTAATCCTCGTCTAAAAAGGACATTTGATCTTGTCTTCTATGATCCTCCTCTTGTTCAAATGTCCACTTCTTATCTTCATATAAGACAGACTGAACCATAGCCATTCTGCACATGCTCAGTTTAGTGTGTATTGCTAGAGAGGTTTTTTTTTCTTGGGAGAGTGCATGTGATCAGCACAGAGCTAATCAGTGCTGCCCAGACAGAGGTCAGGGATTCTGTATCCTCCTACAGCAGAAAGAAAACTCCTTCTAAAAGCTTTAACGTGTGCTCTGCTGGACACTGATAGAAGTCACAAGACTGCTGTAACTGCTGATGAGAAAAGATATTTCGCAATTTATATTTACTAAAATAATTACATTTCCATGTTCTGTGTAATGTGGGAGATCAGATATAATGAATGCAGGGTCCTGGGTTTAGTAACTTTTACGCTTACTGAATAAGTCCTGTTCTATACTGATGCACAAATGATAGCATGCACAGCCATCCTTCTGATGCATTTGTAATGTTCATTAATGATATATTTTATTACGTCAGTTTTGTATACTCTCATATATTATGCAGTATCTTTCTTTTATTTAATTCTTCTTTTAGTGTTTTTAAACTTCCTTTATTCACAGACGTACCTGCAATAGGATATACGCAGCAAAGGCTCTTTGCTGCGTTTGGAAGTGACTTTAAAGTGATGAATTATTTGTGTCTCAACAGGAGAAATAACGGATGATGTAGGAATATAGGGCAGAGCCTCTTAGTGGAGCACACACTACCTTTAAAATGTTTAATGCAGATGTTGGGAATTGTGAAGTGTGGTAGCATTGTACAAGATCTCAGGATGACCTAGATTTTGGGATTTGAAATGACATGTAAATCCTTCTGAAGAGAAGTACCACCACTTTCACAGTATCTACCTCTTCTACAGAGAAAAGAGTCGAAGGAATTGATGGCAGCATCTGTCTGAAAATAGTATGAGAGTTTATGAAGGCTGTTTCAGAGGGGAGAGAGGGGAGCTCTTGCTTTTGATGTTATTATCTGATTCTTTCTCATACCTTTGTGTATCTTGTTATATCTCCCATCTTGTATATTCAGTAGTAGTCATATCTTCTGTATTTCTAAGATTTGTAACTGCCTTTAAAGTGGCTATATAGATCTATGAAAATGTCTGTACATTATGCTAAACTGCAGCCAAGTAGCCAACTTTTCTCCATGAAGTTAAGGTAGAATTAAGGGCAAAACCTTTTTTTCATTGTTGGATAGAGGACATCTGTCAGTTTTTTTTTCTTGTGCCATCTGTGTCCTATTAGGGAGATTTCCATTCACTTCCTGCCCCATAACCAAAACAGGAAATGAGAGGAAACCCTACCAAAGTTAGAAGAATCCCTGGTTGTCACCAGGGTCACCCAAGTGGAAGATTTTCCCTTATTTTTGTTCTGGTGGCAAAGTGTTGGATTTTTTTTCATTTTTGGTTATAATGGTAAACAGGTCAAATAGAAAGGATTAATTTCTCTAACAGACAGAGCCAGCAATATACACCTGCCCATGACATGCCTGACAAAGGGGTCCTATGTGGCTCCGAAACGTTACACTCTTTTTTGTGATGTGATCTTTTTGCAATAAAAACCTTTTTTGGTCCATATTGGAGATCTATGGTGTGCTGGCTAATATGTATGTTTGCATATTAATATACACCTGACACATTCTCTAATCCTGCTCCCCACCATTGAAAACTTAAAAAAATGTCTCTAGTTATACTTGGAGCACCTACACATTAGTTACCGATACATTTTTAGGCTGACCATATGCAGTGAGGAACAGAAGTATTTGAACACCCTGAGATTTTGCAAGTTCTCCCACTTAGAAATCATGGAGGGGTCTGAAATTCACATTGTAGGTGCATTCCCACTCTGAGAGACAGAATTTAAAAAAAAAATTCAGGAAATCACATTGTATGATTTTTAAAGAATTTGTCTTGCACTGCTGAACATAAGTATTTGAACACCTGAGAAAATCAGTGTTAATATTTGGTACAGAAGCCTTTGTTTGCAATTACAGAGGTCAAATGTTTCCTGTAGTTCTTGACCAGGTTTGCACACACTGCAACAGGGATTTTGGCCCACTCCTCCACACAGATCTCCTCTAGATCTGTCAGGTGTCGGGGCTGTCGCTGAGCAACATGGAGTTTCAGCTCCCTCCAAAGATGTTCTATTGGATTTAGGTCTGGAGACTGGCTAGGCCACTCCAGAACCTTGATATGCTTCTTACGGAGCCACTCCTTGGTTATCCTAGCTGTGTGCTTCGGGTCATTGTCATGTTGGAAGACCCAGCCACGACCCATCTTCAAAGCTCTGACTGAGGGAAGGAGGTTGTTGCTCAAAATCTCACAATAAATGGCCCCATTCATCCTCTCCTTAATTCAGTGCAGTCGTCCTGTCCCCTTTGCAGAAAAGCACCCCCAAAGCATGATGTTACCACCCCCATCTTCACAGTAGGGATGTTGTTCTTGGGATGCAACTCATCCTTCTTTTTCCTCCAAACACGACGAGTGAAGTTTAGACCAAAAAGTTCTACTTTGGTCTCATCTGACCACATGACTTTCTACCATGCCTCCTCTGGATCATCCAGATGGTCATTGGCAAACTTCAGATGGGCCTGGACATTTGATGACTTGAGCAGGGCAACCTTCCGTGCAATGCATGATTTGAAACCATGACAGCGTAGTGTTCTACCGACAGTGACCTTTGAAACTGTGGTCCCAGCTCTCTTCATGTCATTAACCAGCTCCTCCCTTGTAGTTCTGGGCTGATTCCTCACCTTTCTTATCATCAGTGATACCCCACGAGGTGAGATCTTGCATGGAGCCCCAGTCCGAGGGAGACTGACAGTCGTCTTTAGCCTCTTCCATTTTCTAACAATTGCTATTTCTGATCTATTTTCACCAAGCTGCTTGGCAATTGCCCCGTAGCCCTTTCCAGCCTTGTGGAGGTCCACAATTTTGTCTCTGGTGTCTTTTGACAGCTCTTTGGTCTTGCCCATGGTAGTAGTTGGCATCTGACTGACTGTGGGGTGGACAGGTATCTTTAAAGAGCTCAGGCAGGTGCTACTAAGTTAGATTAATGAGTGGAGTAGAGGTGGCCTTTTTAAAGGCACAGTAACAGGTCTTTGAGAGCTAGAATTCTTGCTGTTTCTTAGGTGATCAAATACCTATGTTCAGCAGTGCAAGACAAATAAATTCTTTAAAAATCATACAATGTGATTTCCTGAATTTTTTTTTTAATCCTGTCTCTCAGAGTGGGAATGCACCTACAATGTGAATTCCAGACCCCTCCATGATTTCTAAGTGGGAGAACTTGCAAAATCGCAGGGTGTTCAAATACTTCTGTTCCTCACTGTATTATACAATTTTCCCGATTAGGTGAACGGTGGTGAGCTGTGTTCCTCAGACACAGCGTATCACCGATCAGGGTAAAGAGCACATTTTGTTGGCTCTTTACCATGTGATCAGCTGTGTCCAATCACAGCTGATCATATGTAAACAAATGCTGGCTATGGGCACTTTCTTTCCCCATCGCTGTCACTGTGTGAGGAAAGGAAAGCCAATAACCGGCCTTCCTGTGACAGAGAACCCTTACACTAATAAAGGGCACTGATCATCAGTGCTGCCCCATCAGTGCCAGTCAGTGTCAGTGCAGAATATAATTGCCCATCAGTGCAACCTAACAGTGCCGCCTCATCACCACTTATTTGCAAAATTTTATAACAGAAACTAAGAACTATTTTTTTCAACATTTTTGGTCTTTTTTTTCATTTGTTTAGCAAAAAAAACAAAACACAGAAAAAACAAGTGGTGAATAAATACCACCAAAAGAAAGCTCTATCTAACTCAAAAAAAATTATTAAAATTTCATTTGGGTACAGTGTTGCATGACCACACAATTGTCATTCAAACTGAAACAGCACTGAAAGCTGAAAATTGGCCTGGGCAGGAAGGGGGTGAAAGTTCCCGGGGATGATGTTTTTAAGATGGATAAATAAAGAGTGGGGCTTGCTACATTGATTAGGTCACTAATCTGCTTAGCTTTCTCCTCCCAGCAAGTTTCTATTTTTAGATTTTAGTTGTACAAGATTGTAGATAGTGGAAAGTAGCAAATCCTTATTGGTTCCTAATGCCCGACCTTCCTGTTCGGTTCAAGTCCTGTTCTGCAAAAGATTACAGGAATTTTATCTACAGAACAAATAAGCTGTTTCTGTTCGCTAATAGTTCCAAAATATGTTTATCCAATTTTGTTTATTATTAATAGATAACTGCATTAAATTACACTTTCTTGCATCTTTCTAGAGTTCAACTTTTTTTGCTTTGATATTTGTCTTGTTTATGAGGTGAAAACAACTTCCGTAACCAATCTGGAAGCTAGCAAACTACTTGGTTAAAAATGGATGAGATGGAAAACCTTGTATGTTGACCTATTTTTCAGTATTTGTTCTTATTATATAAGCTGGTGAAGTTTTGAGCGAAGGCACATATGACCATATCCTAATGAATGGGTAGTTTGGCTAGATCCTTTTTCTGTCACTTGCAGGCATAGACGACAACCACTCTGGATTTAAGGATACGTACATAAACCTAGCAAACTGTGCTAGCCCTCATAAATCGGTTATAGTACAATCCTACTAAACTCAATCCATGGCTGTTTGTGAAGTGCTACTTTTCTGAATAAGTTAACCTAACAATCATAGTGTTAAAGTATATACACACAGTAATTGATCCATAGTTAATGCCTCTTAAGGGTTCCACTCAATACTGATTTGTCAGAATGAACAATGTGTGGAATTTGATGCCCTTTTAAAACTACTTTTCATTTTAATTGAAAGCGATTTCTATGAGGCTGCATTTTGGGCAAACTCAGTATGTGTTGTTTTTCTGATAATTGTTCTTCCTAGACAGCTAATTCAAAAGCCTTAATCTGGGATAGCTATCAATTTTAATTGATCTTTTTATTTTAAATATGTTTTATGTTAATTCATGCTGGGAAGTCTGGGATCTTAGCCATTTTTAGGACAGTATCAAATCAAAGGTAGGGCAGTGGGAAAAGTTGGGCCCTGCTGTAGGCAATAGGGATTACATTTGTTGAAGAGACTGGGATAACGTGACACCTAGCTGGCATGAATGCTGTC